TATAAACAATTTTACTTTCTCTATTTAAACAGGATTTGTTGTATATATTTTAAAATGATGTGTATTGCATACATTCCTAAAGGAAAGATTTCAAAAATATGATTAAATTTAAATTTATTATCAGACAGAATATTACGAGATTTTGCTCCAACAGATGAGGATAAAGCACATTTTACAATATGCCAAGTCTTTTCCCGCCACATCTCACACTGAAACAAGAAAGAGAAGAAATGTAGTGGTGGATCTAGAGGGAGTTTGGGGGGGGGGGGGTTTAACATTCCTCTGAGAGTGAGCCAAGAATCCTACATATTTGCAGACTTGTCGAAATTTTTTAATAACTGTCAGACATTTGGTCTGACAAAATCGAGTGTTCTGTCGGACCAGTCAAACTTTTGTCAGACCAGATACTTGTACCTTTATTTTGAAGCTGAAAAAGTCATATGAATAACAGCACCAAAATGTACTTAATTATTATTTTTAATAGCCTTCAATCTAACAAGTTTCCTTTCTTGGGATAGAGAGTCTTTAACATAGACATAAATGACAAGTTTTATGACTTTGCTACAACAAATTTACTTAGATATCGTCAACATGCTGCGTACGTGGCCATTTTTTCTGGGTTTGTGACCTTCAATTATGCATCCCCATCCCGACCTTTATTAAATTTGCATTACGCTCAATTTCTTTCAAATGGTCATCTGGACCAACGTTTTCTTAAATGTTATCGGTCCAGACAAATTTTTAACGGCCTTGCTGACAGGACCGACGGATTTCGACAAGTCTGTATTTGTTGCGTTTTTATTAAGTAAAACTATCTCTGTTAACCTTTAAATGTTAAAACTACTTAATTATAAATAATTAATCATCAAACTTCTGCCAGAGTTGGTTTGTATTATATTGAGTGCAGAGACGCAGAGGACTATGAGTAGTTCGCGTATACATTTAGTTATGTAAAATCCTGTAATGTTGCATGCATTAAAATGTTCAATGTCACTGGGATATATTAATAAATTAACAGATAAATATACGATATTTTAATAACAGATAAAGCATTTCAGTTTCTAATTGTTTTATAAAAGAACCAATTCGTTTGCAGAAGATTTTTGCGTGATAATTTGCATGAAGACGTTTATGCACAGGGGTGTGCAAGTACAAAAAATAGTAAGTAGCCGGTCGGGCTAGTGGCAGTAACAAAGTTACTAGCACGAGGTTGTCAATCACTATAGCCCATTTACTACCTAAAACAATACATGTATAAGTATAATATAGAGGTAAAAACATCTAAGTTGAAATAAATAAAACAAAGAATGGTTTGCGCTTTGTTATTGTTAGGTACTTCTCCATATTTTTATTGACTATACTCTATAGCTGACAATAGCAACACACAATGCATATGGGAAAATGTATTAATTTTAAAAGATTATGATTTTACAATAAAGTAAATATATGTTTACTTTCGTTTTGGATTTGCTAGACTGACGGGCTAACGCAGTATAGATTTACAATAGCCTCTAAATCTGGTAGCCCTGGGCATCGGCCAATGGTAATTGCACACCCCTGATGCATAAAATTATCACGCAAGCCAATCGATTAATCATCGTCATGAAATCAATCGCCCTGCACAGGTTTTTTAACCTGTGCCTATCATTGAACCAGTACATTGATGAGGAAATAAAGTACATTGACTATTTGTAATTTTATCTCGGACAAAGACATAAGAAGTGTAAATATTTTGAAATACACATTCAAAAATGTGATTCAAATCCACAAATGTTGATGGTCTTGCATTATGAACACTTATATAAGGGGGAAGCGAATGAATTATTATCCTGGAGATAATGTTTTACTCCAAGGTTTAAATCTTACTTGAAAATCTATGTTATGGCCAGGTTGACTACTGATTCTTATAAATTCTATGGTCCACATCAACATTTTCAGTTGCCCACAAATTAATATACATCTCAGAAAAATGTACCTATTCAATTGGTTGAGGTTTTAACATGTTTAAATAAACAGATTCTAATATATCAACATTGAATGTCATTCTGATATGAAGTTGCTAAGTTGTCTTTAATTTAAAAGACGCACAAATAAATTAAGGTCCTGACATAATATACAAAATGACACAACTTTACTGTACAAGAACGTCTGGAGAAGAATATATAGAGCCTTTATTATTTGGTTTCAGACTAGGAATAGACATACAGCTTGATTAAACTGAAATGCGTAGTCCTGATCATGTCTATAAATGAAAGCTTTAATCAAATGTTAAATGTTTTTTTATGATGTCCAGAAAAAACCTGTTTGATGTGACATACCATTTCAGATGCTATAACAAATTAAATTTAAATTAGAGTTAATGTAAACCTTTTCAGGCAGGTTTGTTTGCTTAAAGAGGGATCAAATATTTCATCTGATTTTGTGTTTTTCACCATGGAGAATATTACGTAACATATCGGCTTTTCATTGCCGGAATATTATTGAAAGGAAATTTAGCCAT